ACGTTTTTTCATATTATTCTTCAGTTAAGGTGACGTTAATTTTAAAGTCAAATTTGCTTCAGATTACGTGATTAAATAGGCTGACGATATATAAGCGTTATTTAATGGGAACAACCCATCGACTGAAAGTTATAACGCTTACCTTTAAATTAACGCCATGTTGACCAATATGTCCAATATCATCTTCATGATCTAGTGTTAACCAGCTTGATTTCTTTGTGCCCGCTTCTTGATTGTGAAGTAAAGGTTCATGGTCTTCGGTGGGCATCTGCGCAGTCCATCCTGCTTCTCGACTGTCGTGGCTTTGGTTGACTTCAAAAGGAGTGGTGCTGGGATTAATTATTAGCTGTTTGTAATATGTGGTTTTTAAGACTGTGTTGCTACTGTGAGTGGAGTTGTTCCTTTCACTAGATAGTCATCCGGTGTCTTCGACAAAAGAAAAGAGATAATAATAATATAATAAGTTTAGGTTATGTAGACTAAACGACAGAAAAAGAAAACGTAAAAACAGACCGCCAATTAAATTTGAAGTTGGCATGTATATTATGTCAGTAATAGTAGGCGTAAGCGTATTAGTTGGAGTAGTCAAGAGAGTGAAACAGGGGAGAATGCAAAGAAATAAAACTATGAGTTTGGATATCTATCCATGAATTGTGAATGATATTTTAAAGTGACAGGCTGTTTGGAAGCAGGCCTAGTGTCGCTGCATGATTGTCCAGCCTTCGCTTAAAGCTGTCCACGTATCGTGCCGTAGCTGCATATGCTGGTAGGGAGCTCCAGGGACAGTTAAAATAAGCGGGAGCGCACTCGAATCTTTTCCCTATGGTGAGCCATCCTTCTTGGATATCCACGGGGAAGCCCGTACGTATGTACGTACGCAGAACACCTTTGTTTGGGTGATTCTGGTCATTTGTTATCTAATAGGCAGTAATCAGGTCCCCTCTAAGCCTACGGTAGCTAAGTGTGTGAAGGGAACTAATTTCTTTGGTCGTTCGTAATACGGTTTGTTTCGGAGACCCTAGCTGCATCGCTTCTGTAATTCACAAGGATGTCAGTTTTTCACGTTAGAACTAGACTCAAATCACACTTCAACGTTGTGCAGGACAAGCTTTCGTTGCACAGTGTGCAACATTCATTCTGCAGCCTACAGGTGCGTAACTTCACTACTACGCACTTTTTCAGGTTGAAAGTCATGTCACTGCCCACCGCCTAGTCTTTCGGAAACTTTAGATCTGCCTGCAACCAATCTGAGTCCTCTGGACACTTTACTGCCCTCCACATCTTTACGTCATCAGCGTATAGAAGAGTCGGGAAGCTTAGATGGCATGGTAGGTCATTGATAAAAATCGAAAACATTAGTCGTATGAGGGTAGAACATAGTGATACTCCTGAGGACGAGCTGTGTCAAGATGATCGGACTCGATTGACCTTAGTGCAGAATTGCCTTTCATCTGGGTAGTCCTTTAACCATGACAGAAGTGGCTTACATATACCTGCCCGACATATTTCGTTTAGGAGATGGTCATGGTTAACTGTGTCAATTGCCTTCTCAAAGTCTAGGAGGACCACATGGACTGGAATATTCATATCCCAGCATGATGTCCAATCGTCCCAAGCTGATAGTAGGTCTGTGACACAAAATTTACCTTTCTTGGAGCCATATTGTGCTTCATGGAGTCTATATAGTTTAGCTGAGCATGTATAAACCTTATGATTTCTATTTCGTCGTTGATTACTTTTCTCCTATTGAATTGTCTTTTTCTTTTGTTAGTTGTATGGCAATATTATATCTTTTATGGACCATCACAGTTCTGCTAAATGTGGGAAGAGGAGGTACATCTGTTTAAATTGCGGAGGAACTGCGGTCTGTGCCAAGGCATTTGAGCTAACACCCTTACCTGTTAACGCATGACTGGAAGGATATTATAGTAACCTCTATCCACGGCAGAGGATCTACGCATTATCCTTCACACTACGAGCCCACTGGATTGCTCGCCATATTGGTGAAAGTCCTAGAAGGATATTCTTAGTGTCCCCACCGCCCTAATTCAGACCGATTTCTCCCCAAAAGTAAATACTGTTACCTGCATATATCCTCTAAGGTATAACTAGTTAGTTATGAGAGTGACCACGAAGAAATCTCTGAGGGATGAAGCAAAGCTCCCTCATCAGGAATTAGGTGGCGAAGGGAACTGATTTGATTTTTACTTACTCCAAGGATAGAAAACACTGTCTCCTTTAGATTGGTGGAGGGAGCTGTAGGACACTTGGGCCTAAACACAAATGCTGGGGGAGTGTATCACCCTTTTGGCCTAAGAGGCCATGAAACTGTAGATTACGGCTGTATACGAAGCTAATACACGAATCCATTGATTAAAGATAATACTAGAAGTGTGTGTGACTGAAAACAGTAATGCAAACTGAAAGGACATTTTCGTGTATGAAGCCCAGAAATAAGACGTCCCATGCGACTTTCTACCTGACTACTGACGAAGGAAGATCAGTTTGTTAAGTAATTGAAGTTGCCTTTCAGGAGTCGCCGATGATGATATCATCACATTTTGCTACACCACAAGAAAACAGATGTATTGTGTTGACATTGGCCGAAACGTCGTAGACACAAGGAAATCAGTGGGAAATCATAACCTTTACCCAAGGCTTCTCAAACATCTGGTGACACATACAGGCGGCTAACTTACTATCTTGAGAGTATCCTTCACACAAGGAGCTTTACGGAGTGATTGGTGGGATGAAATAATAATCTTCATCCCTAAGGGAGGATCTAGATATTGCCCCTCAGACTATAGGGCCATTGGTCGAATTAACATCTTAGGTAGGATACTGTAAATGATATTCAAGAAGACCAACGTGATATATTAAGAAAATAAAAACATAGAGTATAGTATTCAGGGCAACTGGCTAGGAAAGGCAAGGTGAATTCCATGTGTGACAAGAAGTTGTTATC